CCTGCAGTGTCCCGTTGAAAGAGATCGATAGTGAGATCGATAGTGAGATCGATAGTGAGATCGATGTGGTGTCCCGACGTGTCCCGTGGTGTCCCGTGGTGGCCCGTGGTGTCCCGTTGAGAGAGATCGATAGTGAGATCGATAGTGAGACCGATAGTAAGATCGAGAGGTGTCCCGCGGTGTCCCGTGGTGCCCCGTTGAGTGAGATCGATAATGAGAGATCGATAGTGAGATCGACAAGTGTCCCGCGGTGTCCCGTGGTGTCACGTGGTGTCCCGTTGAGTGAGATCGATAGTGAGATCGATTGAGTCAGATGTTGGTTCCTCCCCCTCTCCCGCCCCACAACCTCCTTATCACCCGAAGGGTGGTCGTATGGGTAAATAGTATGCACACGTTCGCCAAGCAGCGCTTGTACTTACAGGTTCTTACTTGTTTGTCATAGGGAACTGGGCCTGCCTGGCGGTCCGGCGGCTCCATGGTCGCCGTCGCCGCCCCGTCGCCACCTCGTCGCCGCCCGTCGTCTAGGCCTGTCTGGCGGTCCAACGGCACCATGGTCGCCGTCGACTCCCCGCCGCCGCCTCGTCGCCGCCTGTCAACTGGGCCTGTCTGGCGGCATTTCCCACTGGGGACTTCCCAGCGCGTAGGCCCCGCTGACGCGCAGGAGCTTCATTGCGAGTCGGTGACGGGGGCGGGCCCGGCATCATGGATGATGATAGTAGCGATGCTGGTGTCGATGATGGCAATGACGACGGGAAGGCCAACGACGGCGCCGATGCTGATCACGCCGATGACGATGATGGTGTCCACGTGTCCGTGATGAAGGACTTGGACGGATTTCGACATGTGCGCGCGGCCGATGGGCGTGAGTGGCCCGCATGGTATGAATTGACAGGGATCGTGCCCCCCCCAGCAAGCGCGCAAAAGCGTCCGAATGATTTCGACATCCGCGCGCGAGAGGCCCGCTTGGTCGCACTTGATGGAAATGTCTAAAACATATCGTAAGATATCGCAAGAGCGCGCGCTTCTTGCTGTGGGAAAATACAATGTTGCAAAGCCACGTGTTTTACATGTTTCCGGAAACCTCGATCTTGAAATCCGCCGATCCGGCGTGTGAGTTTCAAGGAGTCTCAGCTACAGCCTCGAGGCTGAGCCTCAGCCTCTGGGGGGGTTGCCAGGGTGGCTCTGCCGGGGAAGGGGGGGTGGGGGGGGGGGGGGTGCGAGTTTCCGGTGGATGCATTTTTTGACACCCCTCACAAGGATCGTGGCCTCCGAGGGGGTTCCGAACTCGAGTACCACCCCTCCCGCACCAAGAGGCTCCGAGGAGGCCTCCAAGAGGCCCCAAGGGGCGCAGAAGAGGCCCCCAAGAAGCCCCAAGAGGCTCCCAAGAGACCCCCAAGAGGCCCTCTAGTGGCCCCGAGAGGCCCAAGAGGCCCCCAAGAAGCCCCAAGAGGCGCCCAAGAGGCCCCCAGAAGTCCCAGCCAACCACGAAATCCCAACCAGCATCCATGAGGCCTCTGACCCACCACCCACGCACGGTGGCGGGATAGGCCGACGGCCACTGGATAAATGCTGAGTGAGAGGAGGGGAGGGAAAAAGAGAGGAGGGACGAGGGCGAAGAAGGATCACATCAGTCGGAGCGCCCCGGATCGGCGGCTCTGGCCGAAGGCCACTACATAGTAATCGTAGTGTAGTAGTTAGTAGTTGTTAGTAGTAGTAGTCTAGTTGTTGTAGTAGTTAGTAGTAGTAGTAGGAGTAGAAGTAGTAGTAGTAGTAGTAGTAGTAGTAGTAGTAGTAGTAGTAGTAGTAGTAGTAGTAGTAGTAGTAGTAGTAGTAGTAGAAGTCGTCGTAGTAGTAGTAGTAGTAGTAGTAGTAGTAGTAGTAGTGAGTAGTAGTAGTAGTAGTAGTAGTAGTTGTAGTATAGCAAGCAGTTGTAGCAGTAGTAGTAAGTAGTGTTCAAGTAGTTGTAGTAGTAGCTAGTCAGTAGTACCTAGTAGCAGTTAGTGGTAGTAGTAGTCATTGTCGCAGTCATAGTTGTTGTAGTAGTAGTTGTAGTTAGTAGTTATTGTAGTAGTAGCTGTAGATAGTTTGTGTCGTAGTTGTTATCGTTTAGTAGTAGTAGTAGGTCGTGTTGTAGTAGTAGTGTAGTGTGTAGTAGTATTGTTAGTGTTACTCTATACATGTTGAGCTCGTGTTCCAACAGTAGTAGTAGTTAGTAGTAGTAGTGATTAGTATAGTAGTAGTAGTAGTTAGTTGTAGTAGTAGCTGTAGTAGTAGTAGTAGTAGATTAGTAGTTTTGTAGCTGTAGTAGTAGTAGTAGTAGTAGTGGTAGTAGTAGTAATAGTCGCAGTAGTAGTAGTAGTAGTAGTAGTAGTAGTAGTAGTAGTAGTAGTAGTAGTAGTGGTGGTAGTAGTAGTAGTAGTAGTAGTCGTAGTAGTAGTAATAGTAGCAGTAGCAACAACAGCAATAGTAATTGTAGTAGTAGTCGTAGTAGTCGTAGCAGCCGTAGTAGCAGTAGTAGTAGTAGTAGTAGTAGTAGTAGTACGAGTACTAATAGGGGTGGGATGGGGAGAGGGGAGAAGGAAAGGAGGATGATGGGAAGGACGGAAAGAGGATGACGATGCGGAAGGACGGAAGGAAGAACGGGAGGAGGATGGCTCAATCGAAGCTCTGGCGCTCTGGGGGAGGAGCACACCTCTCTGAAGGGCATTCACAAAATGAATCCCCTTCCCGTCCCGTTCCTCTTCCTCCTACTCTTCCTCCTCCTCGCTCCGTCGCAGAGGGCATGTTGTGAATGTTGCCAGAAGAGATGATCCATTCCTAATCCTGCCTCCCTCCTTCCTCCTCCTTCCCTCCTCCCTCCCTCCCTCCTCATCCGAAGCCCAGGAAGAAACCTTCCTCTGCCACACAAGGATTGCGCGGAGGATCTTCCGCAAGAGGAATCAATTTACGGAGGCTCCTCCACAAGGATTGTGTGGAGGATCTTCCACAAGAGGAATCAATGTACGGAGGCTCCTCCGCACAGACAGAATCAATTTGCAAATTCCACACAAAAGGAGCAAGGAGGACGAGGAGGAGGGAGGAGGATAAGGAGGGAGGACGAAGGATGGAGGGTGGGAGGGAGGATGATGAGGAGGGAGGAACAAGGGAGGGGGAGGATGGGGAGAGGGGAGAAAGAACGGAGGAGGATGGGAAGGACGGAGAAAGGATGACGATGCGGAAGGACGGAAGGAGGGGCGGGAGGAGGATGGTTCAATCGAAGCTCTGGGGGGGTCGCTGGGGGGGGGGGGACCAAGCATATATATATATATATATATGTGTGAGCACGTGTATATATATAGACATACATACATATATATATATATCGATGTGTGTACCGTTCGTATGCACGTATGTGTGTGTGCAAATATGTATGCATGTATGGGTGTCGAAATGTACGCATGCATGCATGCATGCATGCATGCATGCATGTGTATGTGAATGCATGTATGTGTGTATGCATGTGTGCATGGATGCATGCGTGTATGCATGCATAGGTGTGTCTGCATGTGCCATGCATGCATGCATGTATGAATGAATGTGTGTATGTGTGTACTATGTATGCATGCATGCGTGCGTATGTATCTATGTATGTGTGTATGATTGAGTGTGTTTATGTGTGTATGTATGCATGTGTGCACTGGTATGTATGTGTGCATGTATTGTATGTATGTGTGTATGTATGTATGGATGGATGGATGTATGGATGCATGCATGCATGTATGTATATAGATGTGTGTAAGTATGTGTGTATGCATGTGTGTATGGTTGCGTGTGTGTATGTATGTATGTATGCATGACAGCATGCCTGTCTGTGTCTGTCTGTCTGTATGTATGTATGTTTGTATGTATGTGTGTGTATGTATGTACGTATGTAGGTATATATGTATGCATGTACCGCTCTTTGACACAGGAAGCACAATACGCGGGTCTGTGCTGTATCGCTACGCAGGAAACACACAAAACGGGTCCTGCTGGACTCACACCTCATTACTTCAGACTCGCCTGTGCAACCGAGAAAGCGGATGCACTTTTTATAGCCGGGAGCTGCAGCTTGGAGAAGCGAGCGGCGATGAGCACATGCCCCGTCAATTTTCACTGCCTCCGTGTGGTCGTCTTCCCCAAGCAACCCTCCGACGGCAAACCCAGCACGCCCCAGATGCTTGACGTAGAAGTTCAGATACTCGGCACCCTTCCAGGGGGAACGATAGGGGCTGGGGGCCAGCTCCGTGGGGGAAACATCGACTTGGAATCGACGTTACATCGCCGAATCATCGGCGATAGGCCCCCAGTGGCGAACCCGCACGGTTCTGGGCGGCGTGGGCTATCAGGCTCCCATCGGCGATGAATGGGCGATCTGGGGTCGACGCATCCCCCCCTGAGCCTATTTCCCCCTCTAACGTTGCCCCTGACCTGCGTAGAATGCCCGTGAACAACTTTCACTTCTATCTTCCCGAGCTTCAACCACCGTGGATGGTCGTCGCCCGCGCCCCCGGCCTGGAAGCGCAGTCCGCCAGCACGGCCGCCAGGGGCCCACGCCCCTGTGATGTTCAGCTCCCGGAAGTACATGTCTGCGCACTGCCCTCCCAGTCGACGCACCTCGGCTTCCACGCGAAGCAACGCCTTCTCGGCGCGCTCCTTCCGCGGAATGTGGATCAGGACGTGCCTGCCCGCCCTCATCAGGTCGAACCGCTCGCCGTGGATGTTCTGCAGGTGGGGATCACCAGTGGCAGCCAGGCCTCCACCAAATCCGCCCGTCGAGGGAACTGCGGCAGGAAACGTCGGATGCGGCGTCGGCCAACCCGCAGGATGCGTTGGGCTGGGCGTCGGGCTGGGCGTCGGGAAGGCCGTCGGGTAGACCGTCGGGTAGGCCGTCGGATAGGCCGTCGGGTAGGCCGTCGGGTACGGCCGTCGGGTACGGCGTCGGGTTCGGCGTCGGCTCCAGCGTCGGGTACGGCGTCGGGTTCGGCGTCGGGTTCGGCGTCGGGTACGGCGTCGGGTTCGGCGTCGGGTTCGGCGTCGGCTTCGGCGTCGGATACGGCGTCGGCTTCGGCGTCGGATACGGCGTCGGCCTCGGAGTCGGGTACGGCGTCGGCCTCGGCGTCGGGTACGGCGTCGGGTTCGGCGTCGGGTTCGGCGTCGGGTTCGGCGTCGGCTTCGGCGTCGGCCACGGCGTCGGCCTCGGCGTCGGGTACGGCGTCGGCCTCGGCGTCGGGTACGGCGTCGCCCTCGGCGTCGGGTACGGCGTCGGCCTCGGCGTCGGGTACCGCGTCGGCCACGGCGTCGGCCACGGCGTCGGCTTCGGCGTCGGCCACCGCGTCGGCCACGGCGTCGGCCACGGCGTCGGCCTCGGCGTCGGCCTCGGCGTCGGGTCGGGCCCTTTCGCCGCCAAAGACCTGTCCAAGGACTGCTGATCATCCGCGTCCCGGGAGCCCGTGGGGCTCCTGTCCATCAGCACCTTCGCCGCCTGGGATCTGCTGCGGCTGGCCACTCTGCAGGAGCCGCACGTTGCAGGGCAGGTCGCGTTCACAGTGCTGCCATACGCCGCATCTTTGCAATAAGGCTGCACCTCAACACAACCACTAATAGTGACGCCGATGCCGCTTGCCAGCGCAATCCGCTGGCCCCCTTGTAGGGCCACCAGGCTGTAGGGCGAAGGTTCGCAGTTTCCTGTACCAGTTGCAGCTTCCAGTTTCCACTGTTACAGTTCTGCTTCTGACTGCTTACTGTTCCTTGTTGATGGACCGCGCGAGGGGGGGGAGGCCCAAACGGGCAGGTTTAGCACGCCCTGAGCGTGTGCTCTGAATTGCTGGGGTGGGTAAAAATTGACACCCCTCACGCAGATCGGCGGGGTCAGGGTCCAAAAACCAGCGGATGTGCCACATTTCTGAAATTCGGTGGCACCCCTCACGCAGATCGGCGGGGTCAGGGTCCAAAAACAGAGGGGATGTGCCACATTATTTAAATTCGGTGGCACCCCTCACCCGGATCGACAGGGTCAGGGTCAAAAAAAAATAAGGGATTTACCGCATTTCTGAAATTCGGTGGCACCCCTCACGCAGATCCGTAGGGTCAGGGTCGAAAAACAAACAGATCCCGACACTGCTTCACGGCGGCGCCTAGACCTCATGATTTAGCTTTTGCATCTCCCATTATCCGAGACAGGGGGCCGGCGGCATGGGGCGAAGCCCTTACGGATAATTTGGGCGTCGTCATCTACGCACTTCGGCGTGGAGCTCACACTGATCGAGGTCGCCGTGGGGACGCTGAGGCTGAGAACGAATGCGACAACGGACCACACGGTCCAAGGTGCCTTCTGGACCGCCATCCCACGGAGCAGAAAGAAAGGCCTGCAAGCCAAATGGTTACGCGTGTGTGTAGAATACGGGCAAAATGGAAGCTGCTCCAGGTCGGCCTGAACCAGAATGCTTGAGACGGACGGCCAAGTTCCGCTGTGCGCCCACCAGGGCCACCATTATTTCACACTGCTCCTTTACCCCGCTGTCATTATCTCGTCTTTCTTTCTTCTCCCGGGTCTGTCCTTTCTCCTCCCGCGATCCTCCCCCCTCCTCCGTCTCCTCATCCTCCCTATTCGCATGCGTGTCCTTCTCCTCATCGATCCTGCTGCTCCCATCCCGTTCCTTCTCCTCCTCCTCCTCCTCCTCCTCCTCCTCCTCCTCCTCCGTCTCCCCTTCTTTTCTCATTTCCTCACCCTTCACGTGCATATGCTTCTGTTTCCCACCCTCCCCGATAGCGATCCCCCAATTGCAATTGATGAGGTTTCCGATGGCAATTCTCTGAAGATGTGGTGGGCATTCCCAATTGGCTGCCACGTCGTACAAACCCAAAACACACGAGGGGGAAATAGCGTACCAAACTATCGCCTGTTACGCTGCTTCCCCGCCCCTGGGTTTGCCTACACTCTCCAGTTATTGTGTCGTCTGGGGCTGTGCACCCGTCCCTCTCATGGGGGTCGTTTCGGCTCCAGCCGCCTTCCACGCGATACCCCGCTCGCGCCTTCCCCCCTCCTCGTCATCCTTCACAGTCCTGCTTTTCATCCTCATTCCCCACTCTTCCTACTCCTCCTTCTCCCCCGTCTCCTCCGTTTCCTCCTCCTCCTCCTCCTCCTCCTCCTCTCCTGCTCCTCTTCCCTCTTCTCTTTCTCCTCCTCCTCCTCCTTTCCCTTCTCCTCCTCCTCCTCCTCCTCCTCCTCCTCGCCCTCCTCCTCCTCCTCTTCCTCCTCCTCCCCATGCAACTGAGATTCATTGTTTTTCGTCCTCACCCATCCGCAAACAGTTCCACACAGCGTCGCCTTTACCCCTCCTCCTCCCCACTATCAGCTCCATCCTCACCTTCATCGTTCTTTCTCATCCTCATCCTTTTCGTTCTTCGCTCCGTCTTCCCCTGCTCACTCCTCACCCACCACACCTCACTCCTCACACCTCACTCCTCACTCCTCACTCC